TCATCAACAGATTAAGTTAACCAACAAAAACATGCTAATGTACATCGAGCCAGCGAACACATTGTCCATAGACTGCGCGTGGGTAAATATGGAGCTGGAGGGGGCGGTTCATCCTGCTTTGCGGTTCCAACGAGGGGGATCAACATGAGTGCTTTGATAACGCTAAGGGAAGAGCTCCCATAGTGCTTCCAATCAAAGGAGCTTGTTGAGGGTTAGGTGAATCAGCCTGGAATGGAGCGGAAGCGATTCTGAGCCAAAAGCAGAATATTTCCACCTGGACCCAGGAGGGTAATTTGTAGAGGAGCTCCCTATTGGGTGGACCGCGGAAAAGAGTGGAAAAAATTGTGGATTTCGATTTTGTTGGGGAACCAAACCGGATCCTTGCAATAAGTTGCCTTAACAAGCTTGATATCAGGTCCTTATGATTACCGCTAGAGGTCTTCTTAGCCTTATTTTGGTCCCTATCGCTGAGAGGATAGAAGAGCCCCACCCTGCGTGAGATTTATCCAACTTGGCCGAGTAAAGCGACAGGGTAGAGCGGCAAACGAGTTCTAGGGACAACTTGGTTTTTGTGCTCACGTGATCTGGTGCCGAAAAAATCGGTTTTATTTTTCTTTTCTGTACAAGCCCCTTCCATATCGCTTTTGCCTCTGTACCACATGGTGCTCATCAAAGAGGTTGCTGATCGCAGAGGAAAGAAGAATGTTGGTGAAAAAATGAAGGGACTTGGGCCCAGGAAAGGCCGTTCAGCCATAGTTTTACGACGGAATCGGTGTGATCATACAGCCAGAAAAGAAAGACTGAAGTGCAAAGTGGATTACGTCTGAAGAAAAAAACCGGCAGGAAATGATCCCAAACACATCCTGATGCGCAGTCGGATAGACAACACAAGAAACACAGTGGGCCAAGCAGAGAGAGCAGACACGTTTCAGCATAGTAGACACATCGACGACGCCTAGAGCGCTGCACTATGAGCAAAGGAAACAACGGTCATGATGAGCCCCAAGTGCACTTCCGAGTGTGAACCTTGGTGCTGTTGGTGGGGAGCGCTATCCCATTTCGTATTGGAATTGTAAAGCTCGGATAGAGTCGGATAAGTCAATTCGATACGGTGAAAATGACGAGTAGGTCTAAATTGAGTTCGATCACAGAACCAAAGTGAAATCGCACAAGGGCCCAGAGGTCTAGAGGAGCTTACCTGAGGCCAGTTTCGAAATACACGATCTCTGATACTGTCGGCTGACTGGTGACGTCATCATTTCTGTAAAACACACCTGCTCACATCCAGTCAATCGAAGAGCAATAGCGCGCATGGCGCACCTGAGAAATTTTGTTCGATGCTGACAAGAAGTGTGCTTCTTAATCAATCAATCATCAGTAACGCTCTTCATTATATCCAGAAGTGGTGCAGTGGCAAGTGGGCTGCTCACCACGCGCCCTGGGCTCTTGGGATCGAATCCCGCTCTACAGGCCTTTCCAATGGCACAAACTCGTCTGAAAGCACAGAAACACTGACTAGCCATTGGCTCACACCCAAAAATCACTACATAGCCAAACCGCATCGGAGTCGCTACTACGATTCCGAATGGATGTAGAATGTGCGGCATATCCCAGAGGACGAATGTTTTTCTCTCTTCTTTTACACATTATTGAAACGAGACGAACTAGTGAAATAAAGCGATACGTATCGGTTTTATAACAGATACATTGCGGTTACCTTTTCTTCCACGTGGTGGTGGGCGTGTCCGAGGATCGAAGGGGGCGTTCAGGTACATAACTGTTCTTATTGCGTTGCCGATGGCGCAGCTTCCGAAGGAGTAATCTCTGGATACTTGAACCCTCGTTCCTCTTCATTTACCCTATTTTCGTTCCAACCAACGTCTAATTTATCACGATTTTGTCTTCAATAATATACAAGACGCGCTTGATAGAATGTAGGGAGTCCCTCGAGGGCGAATTACAAGATTCTCTTGAATTACTGCTGACAGAATTTCTGTATTATCAGCGTAACTGAGGGGATTTCCAAAAGAAGTGAGGGTAACATTTTCATTTCCTCGTGACTTCAGGACAACGTCGCTATTTCTTCAGGGGATTAGAAGGCTTTGACGAAATGCATGAGCAAGGAGGTCGGAACGGGCGACATTCTTCTACGGCCTTCACTGAGGGAATAGTGGCATTTATTACAGCCAACGCTCGAGAACAAAAGCGTTTCTTAGTGGCGATGTTGAATTCCATGGCAAAAATGTCATGATAGCGGTATAAAACCAACACACTGCTTTCGTGAAAATTACCACCGCCTCTGCAGAACTGCCTAAGGTTCCTCTGCTCTATGTAATTACTTGAAGAACGTAGCTCGTTTCCTTGAATGATATTCATAAATCAATACCTCGTCCTCAGTTCAAGGATTTGCCCTGAAGTTTCAGGACAAACCTTTTTCATTTTTACAAGGAAATGACCTCAGGTAGAATGGAGGTTTGCGTGTGGCAGATCTGGAGCACCATTTTTTGACAACCGATCCTAAAACTGCATCTCACGCTTGCAGAACGACTCCCCGGAAGATGTTATAAAATGCAAAAGAGCCAATGGCAGTTTTAGGTCTTAGGCGAGCGATCGTGGGACCGATCCCTAGTAGAGACTGTTGTCTCAAGGGTTCAATTCTGAAAGCACTTTGGCGCTCTGAGACGGTAAAGTTACGCTAGACTAGCAATCAAACGTGATGACCTTACCCGTTAACGAGGAATAAGGAACGTGGGAACATGGACATGACCCCACTCAAAACCACCAGCCTTGTCACTCTACCTGCGAAGCTTGTGCTACTTTCGGACTTATAGGCAAAGTTCGGGCTGAGACCCACTTGATAAACTCTTAGAGTGGCTAGAAGTGCGCTAGACGCAACTGCAGGAGGGCAGTTGGAAGGGGTTCCAGAGGTCCTCAACGTATGTTTTGGAAAATTTTGTATTGGAAGTTTCCACCAAGTTATCAAGAGCTCATGGTCGCATGGTAACTAGCAGCTTAGGACAGTTTGATACTGTCCCTAGGCATAGATATCGTGATCAGGACGTGAAAAGGCTAGTCTAGTGCGTTGCGAACATTGTAAAAGATGAATTAAAAGAGGCGGAAGTGGTGTAGTGGCAAGTGGCACGCTTACCACGCGAGCGGTCCGGGGATCAAATCCTGGGTCGTGAGTCGCCCGGGCCAACCAAGCCTTCCATCCCTCCGGGGTCGGTTAATTGGTACCAGACTTGTCTGGGAGGATAAAAACACTGACTTGTACATCGGCTGGCCCCCGCAAGCAGGGTCAAGCGAGGCGTCGAGGAAAATTCGGAAATACGACCCCCCTCCCCCTGCCGAAGGCCGAAGTCCATGAAACAACCCTCTTTAAAAGCCGAACTATGAAAAAGTTGTTTAATTCTCCCCAAAACTGCTCATAAAAAAGCCCTGCTACCCCGTCCACAAAAAAATTCGTTTAAGAAGTACAAAAGTGAAAAAGTCAAAGAATGATCATTATTGATGAGTCCTACCAAACGAGCAAACGAGAAACGGAGCAAAAAACGACAAACTAGTCACTAAAAATGGCATACTATGACAACATCTCTTCTTTATTTATTTCCTCCACAAGACTTACCAAATTCTAGTACTACACAGATTATGGTTCTCAATTTACACGTCCCCCTTTCGCTGAAAGGAAGCCTTGTAACCGCCTTCGCCAGCTGTGTGTTGACTGGACTTTGGCGTTGACCGTGGAGCAGCTTATTTACTATTGAAATTTGAACAAATATTCAAATGATTATAACTTTCTTCAAAGTTAACGAATTTTCAATCTAGATTTGGGAGTTTTGTGAAGAGCTTTTTCTAATCAGTACTGAAATTACAGGAAGTTAGAAATAACAAATTTAGATCAATTAACGAGGAAAATTCGAGATGAGCACGAGTTTTTACACTTTCCAAAGCCATAACTTCCGTTCAAACTCATCCAATCTGAAAAGTTAATACGTCATCATAAACTAGAAGATTTGCTCTTTCAACGGCACTAAAACTGCTAAATACGTTCACTATTTAAAAAATGGCCACGTTGAGGATTTTTGCCCGAGTACCGCCGAAAGGTACTTTTTCGCTACATTAGCACTATTCAACGACTATAGCTCCTTTCAGGAGCGATTACATACTGAAGTAGGAGCAGATTCAAAATCCTCGTGCTTTTCTCTCTGCAAAAAGTGTAAAATTGTTTAGCGGGTCTCAACTTTAAAGGTTACATGCTTGTGAATTTGACGCTGAAGGCTGCGTTTCTTGTTGAATAGTGTACTCCTCTCTGTAATTTAACATGAACTCTTTCAGAATCCTCTTGATTCTTCCTGAATTAAGATTCGTTATCAAGATAGCCGTAGCTGAAGCGCGCGCAACCAACTGGGCCCACTCTGGGATGCGCCGTGTGCTTCACATCTCGTTGGATTTGAGGACCTACTTGAAAGATAAAATATCCCTAGAAAACGTGCGAATTTCGGATTCTTTAACTTGTGTGGTGATGAAACACTGAAGTCACTAAGAATTGCTAAGCGGACACCTCTAAATCACGAAGATTTTGTGTGGACGGAATCAATTGTTATTGGAAATACTCTGGCCTGGTATCGATTCGATCCTTAATGTTTGTCCTCCGACGATGATCCTACTGTATCAATCGGGCCCGATCTCTCCCCAGCGGGCCAATACGACCCCCCCCCCTCTGTGACATGTCGAGGATTCCTCAACGCACGCTTGACCCTGCCCGCAAGTCATTGTATAGGCCACATCGCATTCAAACGCCACTGCGAATGTACAAATGGAAGTAGAATGCGTGCCGCATCCCAAAAAGGGATTGATCAACGGCAAATGCTTTATCCTTTATCCTTTAGCCGTGCTGGTGAAACAACAAAGCAGCAAAGTCTTCGAAGAATTGATTCCACATGCTTTCGCCTGTGAGCCAGAACCCTGGATTTAGTCCAAGAGAATGCTCCCTATCTGCGATGGTGCCGAATATAACTAAAGGATGGCCCACTCCGACAGAAAACGAGTTCACCGAAAGGTATGTACGTACATGTCCGAGTGCCTCTACATGGGATATATGCGCATTCCAGGAACTTAATCTGGGCTAAACACTTTATTCTCTGGTCCTTCTGAAGTAGGATTCCACGACAAGCAAGAAGATCGAACGGAGAACTTAGCTGTGCATAGACAGCCGGACAAGGATTTGGAGGTGTGGACCGACATGCAATTCGCATGGAAGGATGCGCACGGCGATCAGCATGGCCGTCCCCGATCCCCTAGTGGCTCGAAACGCCCATCGACTAGCTACAACTCACCGCAAGACCTCTGACCGTCCCTATTTCAAGGGACAACCCTTACTTTGCTTAATATTTTACAGAAAACGTATGCAGAGAATATTCCAGAAAGCAGTCGAACATCAATCTGTCTACTCGCCAGACTCTCCCTGGCCTGTTCGCATTTCGATGGTTTTGATCGCGATTGTGATGGTACTGCTCGTCGCGCCAATACCGGTGCTTGTAACCACAGGTACATTCTTATTAAAAAGTTGTCCCGAATAAAGGAAATAGATTTCAAAGGAAATACAATTCATTCTATTTTCGAACCGTGATCGACCACAGATTGAAATCGCCCATTGTGTTGTGAGCCCACATCCTTGTTCAGAAATCTGAATCGAAATGTTTTCAGGATCAGTGTGCTATTTACGCAGCTACCATCCCATGGACAGGTCGACATTCTCAGAATGGGTGCGTTCAAATGGACCTTTATGAGTGGTTCCCTTGATTCCCTTCGATCGCAGTTTTCCAGGTCGGACAACTTTGCGTAGTGCTGGCAACAATCCTGCTCTTCTTCACTCCATGTCTCTACATCTATCTGGACGTGATTCTCGTTTATATTCACGTCTACTATTCAATGTGTCCCGCAGTGCAGTTGCTGGTACGTTCCTGGCTTCGGTTTCTCCACATCCTATCCCTCCCCCTTTCAACTCGAACATCACTTGCCCCTCCCTTTCCCATCTCTTCTCTTCATTTCCCCTTACCGTCGATTTTCTACAAAAAACAATCAGAGAGGTGATTACAATGACGAAAGGGATAGCAGAAATCTTCGAATCGATTCAGCAATTCGCACCACCCTTTCGAAAAAGGACCTTTCAACCATAACCATACTATTAGGTCGGTCCATAATTTTTGAGACACTTACATGTATTGTTGTAAAAATCTTTTGATAAGTATTGAAGCTTTCCAAGATGTCCTGCAACTTAGCACACAAGCTCGCCTATCCGACAGGCTAGCCACCTCGTTTTCATGACTTTAGATTAGAATCTTCCACGAGCAAGGCTCTCAGCACGCTCCCTCAATCCACGTTGCTCTGATGGGTACTTC